TTCAGACTCTTCTAGAATCCAGAAAACAAATTAAGGAGGAAGAGATTTCAGATAATAGAGAGAGATGAATAAGGGCAGCCAGTATGAAGGGAAGGAGAATAAATCAAATATTCGTGGGCACAGGCTGCTTGCCTAGGACTAGACAGAGCTCTGATGGACTATAACACGGACCTATCCTCCAGGAGAAGAGCACGTGCGCAGGAAAGAAAAACAAGAGATGAAAGGATGAACAAACGGCTGTAGACTCAGATCTGATCAGGAGTGTTTTCTTGTGAAAGTGAAAGCTGTAAAGGCTCTAAAGGAAGAAAGAACTTTTTGAAACTGTTATATCTACTGTGAAACATTCCAACCATTCTAGTGTTATTCTAAGTAAATGAATTTTTTTCTTTTTTTGCGGTATGCGAGCCTCTCACTGTTGTGGCCTCTCCCGTTGCGGAGCACAGGCTCCGGACATGCAGGCTTAGCGGCCATGGCTCACGGGCCCAGCCACTCCGCGGCATGTGGGATCTTCCCAGACCGGGGCACGAACCCGTGTCCCCTGCATTGGCAGGCGGACTCTCAACCACTGCGCCACCAGGGAAGCCCTAAGTAAATGAATTCTTAAAGCGGAGGAATCACCTGAATAGATCCAATTTCACCTATTATTGAGTCCTACTGTATTTATTAACACCTCAAAGTATTAGCTCATTCTGTGTGCCAACTACGTTGTACCCCATAGAAACGGGGAAACCCTGAGTGTCTACAACACCCCTAAGTGTTCCTGGTCCCATTGCTCCACCATATCCACAGATGCGTCTTTCTACTTCCTTTATTCCTCCTGCTCTTCTTCCCACTTTCTTTCCTCCTCTAGCACTTTCATCTGCCTGGTCCCCAGTCATGCCCTGAGAGCCATCAGAATGACTCAGGATTTCTTAAACCCATCACGACTGACATTTGGGGGGCTAGATAACTCTCTGTTGTAGGGGACTGTCCTGTGCATTGTGACATGTTTAGCAGCATTCCTGACCTCTACTCAGTAGATTCCAGTAGTACCATGTCCCCTAGTCATGACAAACAAAAATGTCCAAATTGCCCAATGTCCCATATGAGGGGCAAATCTCCCCCAGTTGACAATCACTAGAATGGTTGAATCTGCCTCTATTCCTTAGTAACTTTATGACTTGGAGTTAAGAAGGGACATAAAGAAGTCCAGGGAGGGAGCAGAGAAGGAATAATTTCATAGTAGGTGGCTTCAGGAAGCATCTTCATTAAATAGGTATGCAGAGTCCAATTTCCCTATGAATTCTAGTTTATTTGCCAAGCTCAAGAGTATCCCGAATCCGCAAGCACAGTGCATTTTGCTTGTCAAGTTATAACTTATCAGTTACGGGTTACATGAGATGCATTAGGATGGAGGGGCCTTAGTGTTTTGACCTCAGAGATGGCGCAGGCAGGAATATTCAGCAGGCTATAAATATCCAGCATATTCTTGTATAACCTATTATGCCTTGTTAGGTTAATACAAGGTGTCATTTTTGAGACCTAGTACTTTGTTGGCAATTCACTATGAATTTGGGAAAGGAAGGATCCAAAGCAAAGAAATGCTTAAATGGCTGGGAAATGCCATATGGCTCACTAATAAGGTGTCTTGGGCACTTGTACACCTTTCCAAATGCTGATTTTCTCTTGAGTTTCTTCTAGCCTTAGAAAACCGTCAGCTAAAATCCCAACTGCAAATTAGTGAGCCCACTGGAATTTCTCAAGTTTTTAAACTTACTGGTGTTTATTCCATCACAGTCGATTCTCAAGTATATTTAGCTCCATTGCATAAGAAAGGTCATTAAAAAGCACTGAAGGCTTTTTGCCGTCCATGTTTCTTACAGGTCTTTCTCCTAATCACCCTCTAACTCTCACTGACGCAGACTAGAGATGCTGATATTACCAGTTTCTGCATTAGGAAACACAAGATCTAGTGCTAAATTTCCTGCCAGTTGGTTTTGTCACTTTCTACATAAAACTAATACACCTCCCCCATGTATTTTATACGTACCCTCGGGAAAATATAGAAATCAGTCTATGTCATCTCAGCTTCTCCACACCATCTGACACATTTCATTACTTCTTCCTTTTTTGAAACACATTTCAATTTTGGTTTTCATGATACCACCTTCTCCTGGATTTCCAGCTGCCCATCTGTTTCCATGACCCTTTTGGACTGATTGTTCTCTTAAACTTGTGCTCTTCTTCACCACTCAGTAGACAGATATGACAACGGGCCCTTTTCTTTCTTTCTTTTTTTTTTTTTTTTGCTGTACGCGGGCCTCTCACTATTGTGGCCTCTCCTGTTGCGGAGCAACAGGCTCCGGACACGCAGGCTCAGCGGCCATGGCTCACGGGCCCAGCCGCTCCGCGGCATGTGGGATCTTCCTGGACCGCGGCAGGAACCCGTGTCCCCTGCATTGGCAGGTGGACTCTCAACCACTGCACCACCAGGGAAGCCCTGGGCCCTTTTCTTTATGCAAACTCTCCCTGAGTGAACTCCAGCCCCATAGTTTCAACCAAATACCATTCATTTGCTAAGGACCCTCAGATTTCTATGTCGAGGCCTGAATTTTTTCAATAAGCTTTGAAAGTCATACATCCAATTTTCTACTCACCAAAACCTCTTGCATCTAATACGCATATTAAGATTGCTATAGCCAAAAAAGAACTCTTTATTCACCATCCCTCCAACTCATTCCTTGTCCTGTCTGCCCAAGATCCCAGCCAAATGGGAAAGTTTATATCCCCTCACTCCTTACCTCAACCAGCTCTCTGTCGCTCTGCTTAGGAAATTTCCTCACCACCCTCTCCCTACTCTCAGGCCACGCTAATTCAAACACTGTCTCCCTCAGTTAAACTTCCTGCTTAATGCGCAGTTCTGGGGTGTCCCTAGACCTCTTATTCCAACCTTCTCTTAATACCCAAAAGGCTCCTGCTTGTTATAATTCTTCAAGGAGGGGTGTGGGGCGAAGTAACACTCCTGAAACTCATCTTTGATCGCTGCATTCGTTATCCTATGTGGTCAGTGCACAAACCTTTTGTGCACTGACCACATAGGATAAATGTCACTTTTGAAGTGACATTTATAATGCAGCAGTTTTGACACCAGGGTTTGACCTTACTGCAAATAAACAAAAAACAGAAAGATTTTGATATAGGTAAGTACCATTAATCCTTCTGCATGTTTTTATTAACAAATAATCAATAAGATCAATATCCTTATCATATTCTAGAGTCTCAACCATCCCCTGATATCTGTGGATATGTACAAACATGGCATAAAGAAAACATGGTAGAAAATATCCCTATATCAAAACTCTTAAGCCAAAATGACTACATTGAATAAGCCGGGATAATAAAGAAATGTATCAGTTTCATAAAACTAATCAGAATAAATGTTTTAGATACTTCGGTTCAACTGCAAAGGTTTAAAATGTCCATGTGTAAAAATTAAAAATTCTAGAAAAGAAGACCCTTAAAATCTTATAGCTACCAGTGCCAATCCTTAAAGGGTGGAAATCAGCTCCGACTTTAAAAATACTATACTTTAAAAAAGAAAATGACACCTAGATAGTGGCTCCAGGTAAATATGCAAATAATGGATACAAGAAATGTTGTGCTCTATCTAAAAAACAAAGTAGAAATTTGTCTTCTAATGGTTGGTAAAAAAAACAGTCCGAGAAGTAGACTTTATTTTCTCATTGCAAACACACCCTAAGTGAATTCTCATCCTTTCTATTGCAGCCAGATGGAAGACAGGACTCTGGAATAGTGGGGTACTTTGAGCAATAAACATACAAACAAGAACACCAGGCCATTTTTGTCATCCAGCCTCAGGACAATCAGGCTGCTTTGACTGAGGGTACAGGCTATCGACTGGCAGGGGAAGAAAGTCACCTAGAGGTTACAAGGCACAGAGGTTTTTTTTTAATAGTTGTTTTTTGCTGTTTTGGCAAAAGGATGCTTAACTAGGGGTTTCAGGTGTAGTGTAATAGACACCAAAACCCAAAGTGAGGTGCCGCCAGATTTAGACATTTTAAGTCCTTCCCCCACATGGAGGGAGGTATAGAAGGTCTAGGAGAAGATTTATTTGGAGGGTGTCATTAGCATGCTGTGACTCCCACACACCCCTCCTAGCCGGCAAGGGTACTGGGCTTCTCAGAGAGAAGGGCTTTTATGGGACAACTCAGACAGCTTTGCATACGCCCCTTCCAGTTTGGGGTGATGCTGTGCATTGGTATCTAAATCATGCCTGGGGAAATCTAATGGGAAGAGGATGGCTGGAGGGGCTCGTACCTCACAGTAAGGGTGGGAAAGTGGGGAAGAGACTGCACTCCCAAACAGTGTTGGGGCAAAGGGTCACTGAGCGTTCTCCCAGGAACCGGATGTGGGTTATTAGAGAGAGGCAGGCTGGGTTTATCGGATCCTGTCCAAGAGATCAGGATGGGACAAACAGATTGCATTTTAGAAAGTTGGTTTCATGGTTGCAGAAGCAGGGAATTTACTTTCCTGGATGTGAATGAGAAACACACAGCCCCGGTTGCTACTGGCAGCCATCTTGGACCAGGAAAACATCTTGTGCAGAGGTGAAATGTGACAAAAAACGGAGAACAGAGCAGAAAAACCAACAGAACACAAAATCCACCCTGCATCTGAACTTTGTGCTGATGTGAACCAACAGACTCCCTGTCAAGCTAGTTTGAGTTGAGTTTTCTAGTATTTGGCACTGAAAGCCCTTCATTTTATAATCTTTCCTAAATGATCTGGGAGAACAGCCACAGCCCAAGTTTGCACTAGACTAGGACTGTCCATTTTGCAGGAAAATGCAAAATAATCAGAATGCCAACTTCATCTTGGTTCTTGGAGTGAACTCTATCCCTAGGGGAGGATGTGGACTCTAATCCACATGAGACATTAATTGACAGATGGACTTCTTTTGGATGGAATGTAAGAAACAAGGAGAGTCAATTATATGTTACCTGGTAATGAACTCTCTGGGAGCCAGAAGAAACTGACTGCAGGTCCTAATGAGAAAATGGAAAAAAAAAAAAAAAATAACCCATACACCTTAAGATTAGTTTGAACAAACTGCCTCAACTCCATCAACTAAACGCCCAATTTTATATTATTAAGCCCATCTGGAAAGCATCTTACTTTCCCCAGTCCCCCAAGGTTAAACAAAGAAGATAATGCCAAAAATAATAAAAGCACACCCAGTTGGACTAAGAGAAGAAAGGCCATTTAGCTATTGAAACTTATAAATCCTAAATAGCGTTTAGAGGTAAGTGATATAATTTCAAGGATAGAGAAGACCAAAAGTAAAAGACAGGCGATTTTGGTGTAATAAATGGGGATCCTAGTTAACTTGCACCTGGACTTTTGGTTTGTGCAGTAAGCTACTTAAGCCCCCTTAGGCACTTAGGAAGAATTTATTTATCTAAGACCAAAAACATACTGTCACGATAATTGTGTTTATACTGACAAGTTGCTTGGCAAACACAGGATTTCATAGACTGAAAAGAAAAAATCACTGTCCAGCTCTGCATTATCACGAAGTGCAAATTAACAGGGTTGAAATTAATGAGGCTTTACTGGAAGATTCTGAGAGCCAGGCTCCCTTTATAAAGTTTTATAACTAAATTGTCATCACTGTCATGTCCTGCAGGCTTCCTTGTTAACGAGCATAGTCATTCTATTTACAGACGTCAGCAATCCTGGCTACCTGGGTACCTGCTTCCCACAGGCTTTATCAACTTACTCTCTGAGCCCAAGTTTAAAACTTTTCCTCTTTATTTGTGCTTGCTCTTTCCTTTTTTAATTTTTTTTTAAGAATCCTACTTTTAGTTGTTGAATATTGGTGTGATAAGCATAACAGTAAGTTAATTTTCAACAAAGTCAATTCATCAGTCATATATTTTGCTACTGTGGAATCTTAAGTTACCCAAGTGTTTAAAAAAACAAGCTTGGTATCAATTATGAGTCACTTTTTTTATTGCAGGGTTTTTTTTTTGAGGGAAGTTCCACAATAAAAGACCAACATTATTTTGAAAATATGAGTTACTATATGTTCTAGGATTGATTTGGACCTGAGTCACATGTTAAAAAGTTCACAAATTTTTACACGTTAAATTTATCTTTGGTAAAAATAGCCAAGTGAAGCCACAAGTATAAACTTTGTTGACTTTTCTTCTCTCACCCTTATTAGTATTCACAGTTTGGCAACTATCTCAAAATATTCTACATTCCCAGTTCCATCTCTATCCTTCACAATGCTGAAGAGAAAAATTAGTAATTTTTACATTCCTTTATGCCTCCTACCTGAGTTTATTTCCACCAAGAGAAACAGACTCTAATGTTCAAAGCTAAGTAGCTACAATTTGAAGGGATTTTAAACACTATATACCTTCTTTATTTGTGATATTTACTTATGTATAATGTGTTGTCTGGAAGAGAGTTGCTCATCTTGGGGTATTTATCAAAATCACGCAAGAGCTTTAAAAATATAAATGTCTAGACCACATCCCAGAAAAGTGATTCTAATGTGCATCTTTCACCAAGAAACAAAGACAAAGAAGTGGCTGTTTATGCTTTTTGCCATTTGTAGAACAAGACACTGAATACTCTCCCTTGAAATTTTGCAAAAACAACCCATGACCACTGCAGTGATGGATCTGGGTTCTCCTGGCTTTGCTGGTGCAGTTCAAGTTCATGGGAATGTCACATATGAGACCTCCTCCTTTCTCTTTCTCTATGGTAAGACCAGATTGAGAAAAAAAATAATAGATTATTCCTTTGTGTTCTGACACAAATTCTTTTGAAATATAGGTTTTTCTTTCCTGTAGAAGTTACATTTAAAAACAAATCTAGCTGTCTCTGACAGAAGTCTGTACTAGATGCAAAACATTAAGTAACGCCAAATCTGTTTTCCTTTATTATTTATCAGTGCCCTTTGAAATTCTGTATAGTTCAAAAAACACAGGTGAGCTGTCTGGCAAGACAAGGAGCTCCAGGCTATAGCTATGGATCACACTGGAGCAACGTGGTGCTGTACTTAACCTAATCAACCTTTCCCACTCCAACCACCCGAGGAGGAAAAACAGCAGTGGGGATGGGGAGGGAGAAGATGCGGTGTATGCTTAAGAGACAAGAAAGACAAGGCCACCATATTTCCATTTCCTCCCCAAATGCATCATCTTAGAAGTAAATATAGATGGCTGGTAATTACTGACAAAAATGGAAAACTGAGCAGAATAAATTATTGGCTAAAGAAACTCACCTCCTGCAGGCGATCTATGTACATACGGCAAGTCTCCAAATCACAGTCTCCACGCACAACTAGAATACCCAGAGGGATGGCTAAGGGTGAAGGAAAGAGAAAAATCTAAAATAACATATTTGATTTTTCTATTTTGGTATAAATGCATTTTTTATGGTTAAAAAAGGCCTCTCATAAATATAATTGGTTTTTTGGCTATTTCACTATCTCCCGGCACCTCTTCTACGAGCTCAGTCTCTTTACTTATGCAGTTTTCATATTCTTTCCCTGCATGATCCATGTTGCCCCTTGCCACGTGGCCAGCCTTCATTTCATTTTGTCTTAGTGGCCCTGATAAGAGGTACAATGTCATGGAAACAGTAGACTGACAGGGCCAGAGGCTGTTCACAGCCAGCTGCTAATTTATGCCTGTATTTGCAAGAGCCAAAGTACCAGAGAGGAATTAAAAAATCATGATGCTGGACACTTACCCCTTTCCCTCGTAAATGCATGGGGCTTAATCTTTATGTCACTTTGCAACAGTTCCCTATTTAAGAGACTCAAGCTACTCAAGGCACTGTTGTTACCTGGTGGCCAATGCCAGAATGAAATAGGCAAGAAACATTAAAAAAAAAAGCTTCTAGAAGGTTCATAGCTTAAAAATCCAAGTGATTTTAAAGACGGTCAGTGTAAATGTGGTAGCAGCAGGGCTTCAGAAAACAATGAGGAGAAGCTGTTACATGCCTTAAATACCTTTTTCAGGTGGTGGTAAATGTCATACAATGGCTTTAGTGGATAGAAACTCCTGCTTCAGATATAACCACAAGATTCCTGAAAAACTGAAAATAGTCTCCTTCCCAAAACTTCAAACAAAAAATGTATGTGTACATTTCTGATTTTAAAAATTCAGTTATACTATTAAACCCATGATTTAAAAAATATTTCAAAATCTTGAAGCAACCAACTAGAGATTAACAAGGAGATGACAGGACAGTTGTGTCCACTAAAGATTTTTAAAAATCTTTCACTCATTGAATTTTTAAAGCTTCATCATCAATAAATAGATCTGAAAATGCAAAGTGCTAGGGCTTTAAAAATGAATTATACAGAGAATAAAACAGATTTAAATGCATGGGAAAATCCTGAGGAACTCACCAAGTTGTAGAAAAGACACACATATAAAAAATAATAAATGGAACATAGGCTATGGTAAATGTATGAACTTAGTCACTTGAAAGCTATAGGAGAGAGGAAATAGTCTTGCCTGGAGGGTAGATTTGAGGCTCTCTGAAGGATATGGAGCCCCACTGGTCTCTTAGAGAAGCAAGAGTTGTCTAGAGAAAAAGATACAGAGTTTGCTTCTCAACATTACCTCCTAGACTGGTTCCACTAGGGAGATCAATACCACTAGCTCGTACCTTTAGGTTCCCAAAGTGCTTCAAACATAAGCTGGAAGGCATCCATCATCTTGCAGAACTACATAAGCCTATGAATCAGTATGGTCTCTCTCACCGGAATAAGACTTATTTCCTTTTACAACCCCAATGTCTGGTAGGTATTCAATAAAAGTTTGTTTTTTTTAAAAAAAAAAAAGGTGGGGAAGGGGGAGGAGGAAGACAGGCTTAGGGCCTGTTCAAGTGAGAAAGAGAAAGTGTGTCTTTAAGAGCTAAGTCTACTTTCCAGGATAGACAAAGAAGAAGGGTTTGGAGCAGGAGCAGAGAGTGTGCATTGGGTTGGCGCTTGCCTTTGCCTATTCTTCCAGAAGCTAAGCAAGAGAACAGCAAGTAAAAGGGTGAGGAACCATGTAAGTATCACATGTTTGGGGGAATAATAATCTGGAAAAATAATTTTTCTCCTTTTTTGAATATATACAGAAATATCCAAGAAGTCTTCAGTATGGTAATCATGCATCTTTGAAAGGAATGAAAGGGAAATTCAATAAAGAGATCCCTAATAGTAGTGACTAAAGTAATCATCCTCAGCTAGACTATTAAATAGGTCCAAATAAGGTGACCTACTTAAGTAAGAGAAGAATAAGGATTTCTAATACTTGAGGAATGATGAGGAAAACCTAGAATTTTAACCTAGAAAGTAAATCAAAGGTTGTGGAAATAGAATACAGCTATAATTATCATGAGAATCCATGTTAGAATCTTTCTCTTAATTTCAAATGTGCAAATGTAGAGAAATAAAATTTCATTAATATTTACCTATTTACTTAAATGAGGAGACACATTATATAGAAATGCAGGAATCTGGTCAACCCCTCTGACTATCAATGCTTGAAGTTAGTCTGGCCATAAATCCAATATACTTGGTAGCAGATATTTTAAACTACAATTAGAGATTGGATATTCCAGACCTAAAATAATGAATGTCTAGGAAAAAGTTTTCAAAGATGTGTCATTCATTTCTACTAAGGGTATAAAGTCAGCAACTTTGCTTATTCCTCAAGAAGCTGATGAAGAGAAACGGTGTATTTGATTGATATTAGCTATTCAGTTGGGGTAAAAAAAAAAAAAAAAATGGCATCCTATACCACAGTTTCATAGCATGATTACTGACGACTGTTGTCAAATTTATCCTATGAAGGTACAGAAAGAATTTACAGTCATTCTCTCTTGGATTCAAATCCCAGTGCTGCTTTGGTCTTACAAATGACTCATGCTTGCTGTTTGGTCTTGCAACTTCCTCAATTCCTTTGATCCTTGGATTGAAGGCTATAGTATTTAGAATAGGTATCGTCTAGGATTTTGTGAAGATTAAATACAATACTATATTTAAAAATGAATAACCAGATCATCAATGCTATCTTTCCCTCACTCCCTTTACTAACTTTTGAGCATCTTGAGCTAGAAAATGGTACATCCAATCATCTATCTTTCAATTTATCATACTACAAGGATTAGCTGGTAGTAGTTCCATAAGTTATATCCTGTTTACTTAAAGCTAGCATCTACTCTTTCCTTGAGGGTAAAGATAACTGTAGTACAAAAATATTGTAATCTGACACTTCCATTTGAGACTTTACATGGTGAAGAGAAACCAGAAACTTGTGGAAAATTACCACCTTCCTTTTACACTGCTGACAACCAACTGCCAAACCTCACTGAAGTTTCCTTCATCTTAATTGGGAGCAGGGAGACTACTTATCACCCAAGCATTAGCATTACTATTCCTGATCTTGATGATTCATCTGATTTTAGCCTTGGAGATTTTATTTGACTCCAATAAGCATCAGTCGCTACTCAACCTATAGTACATAATGGAACTTTCATTGCAGGGGTCAAATGGAGTTTACAAGTTCTAACTAAGCAATCAAGAACAAGCTGGTTTCTAGATTAAGAAGGCAGATTTAACACACACTTACTTCTCCTGCACCAGAAACGCTACTAAATTACAGCACATGAATTTTAAAAAGACATAAACCAACAAAAAAAAGAGGAGAAACAGTGAGGAGAAAATGGTAATGAATAAAGCATATGGAAAATTGGTAACTGACTCAGAGCCCCTATAGAGTCTAATCCTAGACTATGGGTGGGGATAGATAAGAACTAATTTACACTTCAAAACCCTCGGAAGATGTGCAAACTGGCAACATCAGTTGCAGCTAAAATAAGAAGCACTGGATATTAAATCACTAGATTCCACCACCCACTCTTGGTAGGTGGAGTTACTTCACAGAAAATGGGGATTAACTGATCATCTACAGAATGCAGAGATCCCCAACTTTCTTCTCTCACTAGACTCTCCAAAAGCTGGCAGCCAGAACCCTACCTTCTTAGAAAGAGATCTGAAGACTCTTCTCTGGGGAATCCTCAGAGTTAAGAGAAAACATTCCATCCATGAAATATAAACATGATTGTATTAAAAGATGAAGAACATGAAGAAGAAAAAAGGAAAAGGAGCATCATTCAGAGAACAAACAAGTTCGTGAAATTTGATATAATAGAGTTTAATAGAAAGGTTAGAAGATGAAGTTGAGGAAATCTCCACAAAAGAAGAGCAAAAATAAAAAGAGGCAGAAAATAGGAGGGAAAAGGTGAGAACAATAGGACTGGTCCAGTGGTCCAACATTCCAATAACAGTAGTTCTAAAAACCAGAGAAAAATAGAGAGAGGAGTAATTATCAGAAACAAACAAAAAATCAAGACTATTTCTTAGAACTGAAGAACATCAGTTTCCCACTTGAAATGGCCCAACAAGTACAATAACAAAAGAACAATAGAAAGACATTTTATTTTGAAGTTTAAGAATATTGGGAACAAAGAGAAGAGTCTACAAGTTTCCAAATAGGAAAATCTAGATGGCAAAGAAAGGATCAGGGATTAGACTGTTTTAAACTTCTCAGAGGCAACTGTACAGTCAGAGAACCAATGAAACAATGTGTTCAGAATTATAAAACTTTTACAAATAATCCAAACTATCAAATTAGTCCAAGGGTTAAATAAAGGACACACCCTCTACTAAAAAGTTACTGCAGAACATGCACCAACAAAAGTTGAGTTTGCAACAAGAATGAGGAATGCAGGGGATATAACAAATGGGGAATCCAACAAAGAAAAGATTTTTAAAAAACCCTCTAAGGGGATTGGGCTAGAAGAGTCTAGGGTGACAGATATATTGGGGCACTCTGACTCAATAGGCAGAGATGTAGAGAGCTGTCAACCATTGAGTCTCATCAACATTGGAGAGTTATTTTTCAACCAAAGGATAGAATGTCTAAGTGAGTCTGAACCAGTTTCTTACAATCATCCCCAGATGTGCTCTGCCTTAACCCGTTATTGAGAGAAAGAGTTAGGTCATGGTGAGGCAGAAAAATTCAAAGAAGTCCATCCCCTCTAACCATAGTTCCACTTGATAGCTAGAACCCACCTTAACACCCTGCCAAATGCTTTCCAGAATGCAGTCATGACCTTGCCCACTAAATTCTCATAGAATGGGCTCATAGGCACTCTCAGGGAAGCCAAAGCCAGACAGTAATCCAGAGACTCTTTTCAGCTCTCTCGAAAGCCTTCAACTAAAAGTGAAAGCATCATCGCTTCCTTGCAGAGGGAGGTTTAGGACTGCTACTTGGTGTTTCAAAGCCACTCTATCTGAA